TGGATTCCTTTAAATCTCAATAGGGAAGAGGCACAGACTATAAAAACAAGTTGAATAATGAGCATAAGGTTTTTCAAAACAGTGTAAAGAAGGCACATAATAATGTCAAGATTCCAGTAAAATTCATATATGCTTATAAGTAAAACTTCAGAGAAAATGTATGACTACAATTGGGACTAATACACTCAGATTTGGTTAGCATCTAATTAGTATATAAGAAGCTCAAGAACAGTGCCACCATACTTTGGAGCTAAGACTACCACTGGAAGTAATCCACTAATAAAATCAAAGCAAAATAGGTAAGATTTGCTTGTCAAATGAAAGTAGGAAGAATCAAACAGAATCTATTAAATCTTGCAACGTGGAAAAGATACAGCCCAATTCATGTTATAGACGTCTATAAAAATGAATGCATCCACTGACAGTGTCCAGGAAGTCCAAAGGACCCAAATTGTTCCAGAGTATTTCTAGCACTTTTTAAGGAAGAAGATGCCTTACTGGATGCCTTGTTGGCTACAGTTCGGTGACACTAGTTATCTAGATCATAGGGTCAACTCTTCTTTATTATTATCCACTCAAAATTTTCCATTTATAATTTGACTATCCATATTTTCCCCCAAAGTGAAGGAAGGTGATGATCATCTTGACATAGGGAAGTGGCTCTATACTCTAACACTGCCTTAGGCAATAGAGATTTGGGTCAGGTATCTGGCTCTGCCCCTTACTGCTGTTACCTGCAGCATTCACACACATGCCTGATCAAGAGGGTTCACTTGAAGTTTCTGGTTCTGAAAGGTTAAGGTCAAGATGAGGTGTAAATTCTGTCCTAGGAAATCCTGCCTAAGTGGCCAGCTTTTCCCTCTCTCTCTATTTTGATACAGAAGACCTTTCAGGATCACAACAGGGTCTCAGTTTGCTTTGAGATACATTACGTGTGATTAAAGAAACTGCTATAAAGCAGAAGCTGTAGGGATTGGAACTGAATCAGCACTGACTCCATGACAAAACCGAGTAGTTTATTTAAAAAATCTAAACTCTAAAACGTATTTATTTACTGTTCTTCTAGCAAGAGAAGGCAGAAAAGGCAATCAATCAATCAAATATTCAGTTACTTGTAATACATAAACATTTATTTCATTCAGATATCTTAACTAACAACTTTCTAATAACCATAACCAGGTCAGCTGGGGTCCTTTTATTTTTAGCTCAGTAACTTGTAAGGATCATTAAAAGGTATATGGCAGGGCTTCCCTGGTGGCGCAGTGCTTGAGAGTCCGCCTGCCGATGCAGGAGACGCGGG